CAGAAGAGCGGCATTTCTGGGTGTGGTTCTTGTAGCGCTCTTAACAGTAGCTGGCATATAGACATTAGCTAAATAAAAGAAGTCAGAACTTGTCTTTTTCTTTTTGAAGCTTTGTTTAAATTGAAAACAGAGTACTCAACAAGTTTTTAAACTATGTATATGTTTCCCTCCCCCATGGTATAACCCCTGCTTTCACTGTATTTGATGTTTGTATAATTTGTGGAGGTGAAGGGCAAAAAAAAATCGTTTAAATAGGGATACAGGCGGACCCATTGCAACAATGAGATGTACAAGATGTTATGTCCAAAAAATGAACTTCACAACTTTGGTGGGGGTGGGAGGATCGGGTGGGGGGAGGTGGGGGGAATGGGAAGAGATGGGAAGGGGAAACAAGGAGGAGGCAGCAATGCTTGATATGAAATATACTCGTTATCTTGCCCATGTAATTGTAACCCCTCTGCACAGTATTCTCACAATAAAAAATAATATGTATACGTTGTGAAATGGCTATATCAAAGTTTTATATCCTCAAGCCAACATCCCCACAACAGCTACTCTCAACCAGTAACCACCACTCTATTCTGTATTTCCATGAGTTCAACTGTTTCAAATTGCACATATGGTAAAAACAGAAATTTATCTTCCTTTCCCTGACTTACTTCACTTAACAGAATTTCCTCCAGGTGTAGGATTTTCTTACAGTATCCCATTATGTACAAATGCGAATTTTCTTTATCTGTATCTGGGTGAGTGTGAATAATTCCACATGGAAAGTATAGACATCTCCCTGACATTCCCATAGCAAATTATATATCTATAGTGGGATTGCTGAATCATATGCTATCTATTTTTAATTTTTTGAAGAAACACACCATTTTACATAATGGCTATACTAATTTACATTTCCACCATATCCTCTCCAATGCTTGTGTGCATGTGCTCGTTCCTTAATGTCACTCTCTCATGATGTCTTTCTCTCGGTCCCTCTCTCTGTGTCTCTGTCTCTGTCTCCTCTTTCTGATCTAGCAGGTGCAACTTCAAAGGCAGACTCTTAAACTCAACGGACATTTTTTTTTTTGGGGGGGGAGGGGTGGGTCCGGTCATGGGGCCTGAACTCTGGGCCTGGGCGCTGTCCCTCAGTTCTTCAGCTCAAGGCTAGCGCTCTACCACTTGAGCCACAGCGCCACTACCGCTTTTTTTTCTTTTTTGCTTATGCGGTGATGAGGAATCGAACCCAGGGCCTCATGCATGCAAGGCAAGCGCTCTATCACTGAGCCACCTTCCCAGCCCCCAGAGGACAGTCTTGAGGACAAGACTTTCAAGGCTGTGCCTTGAAATCTGTAAGATTTTTCCCAGTTAAAATTTTAAATTACCAGTGACTCCTTTCTTCCTTCTATTTTCTCACTTTTACAATGGTAATGCCTATAATTATTGTTCTATGCATGTCCCACTAAGTATGTTTTAGTTTCACAGCTCTACAAATGGAAAGGAATATAGAACAAAGATGGATCATGCCCAGAATCTCACTGCCATGTGATATAAATTATTTACATGATGATACTTTTGGGCTGATGATATTTAGATGACATTTGGACTCTAAGTTCATTTTTTTTCTTGGTCAGGATGAAGCAGTCTTGATTTTATTACAGGTGTACTGGGAATCCATGGAGGAATTTCCATAGCAAAGTGATATGAAATGATTTACATTTTTAAAAGTCATTGGTGCTTACTTTATGGAGGTAAGCAAGGAAGTTAAGGAACCAGTTAAAAAGTATTACAGTGAGGGGCTGGGAAGGTGGCTCAGTGGTAGAGCGTTTGCCTTGCATGCATGAGGCCCTGGGTTCGATTCCTCAGCACCACATAAGCAAAAAGAAAAAAGCGGGAAGTGGCACTGTGGCTCTAATGGTAGAGCGCTAGCCTTGAGCTGAACTGCTGAGGGACAGAGTTCAGGCCCCACGACCGAACCCAAAAAAAAAAAAAAAAAAAAAAAGTATTACAGTGGTCTAGACAAAAGAAAATAGAGACTCCGATTTGAAATGACAGCAGCAGAACAAAAAAAAAAAAGGATGGATATGAAATATACTTTGCAAGTATAACTGACAACTTACTAATAAATTAAGTATAGAGAAAAGACAATGATAAAATATGGTAAAATATGGGAAGATTCTTTTTTTTTTTTGTCGGTTGTGGGATTTGAACTCTGGGCTTGAGCACTGTCCCTGCGCTCTTCAACTCAAGGCAAGCACTCTACTGCTTGAGCTGCAGGGCAACTTTCGGTTTTCTAGTGGTTTATTGGAGATAAGAGTCAGAGCTGAGGGACAGTGCCCAGGCCCAGTGTTCAGGCCCCATAACTGGCAAAAAAAAAAAAAAAGTCTCACAGCCTTTCCTTCCCAGGCTGGCTTTGAACCATGATCCTCAGATCTCAGACTCCTGAGTAGCTAGGATTACAGGCGTGAGCCACTGGCACTCAGCTGGGAAGATTCTTTGGTTAGAAGTTAAGCAATTGGATATTATTTATTGACTGGGATTGACAAGACAGAGGAAGACAGACATTTGCATGTGAAAATCAAGACTTGAATTTTAAGTAGGTCAATTTGTTATAGGAATATAACTTAGTTTGATTTAAAAAATAAAGAACGCAAGGACAGGCTATAGTTTATAAGTTTATAGTTTATAAGTTCAGGGGGAATTAAAAAGAGCAAAATGAAATAAACCAAATAGATAAGAAAGAAAAATGAGGTCAGTAGATGACTAAGCCCTAGAACATTTCATATTTATAAGCCTGACAGAGGAGAAAAGCAAGCAAGAGATACTGAAGGAAATATCCATACAGCTTGAAAAGAAACTGTGAAGAAAAAAATGTCATTTTTTTCTGAATTATTGGTACTAAGTTATTCTACTTTATGTAACATTCATGTGCTCTAGTCTATGAAAGTCCAGCTAAAATGTAAACCTCTTGGCCTTTGCTTTACCTCTGGAAATATTTAAGTACTTGAGAAACAGCTACAAGAACAGAACACCACACTAAATTCTGAGGAAATAGATTTAGACACTTTTCTATGACATGACCAAGAACCTGAATAAATTTACATTTTTTAAATCATAGAATTAGGATTCTACAGAAAAATGTAAGAAGAGGAAAAAAGCTAGAAGAATACAGAGAAATCTGGACAAGGTATACTTTGAGAACTATCTGACTAGGAATGGAAATAGCAATAAAAGAAAAATAGAAAAAAGAGCCATACCTAAAAAGTGTATTCAGATCATTACCTTTTCCTTATAGCCTATTTTCTTAGCCACAGGACAGACTCTCTACACTTTCTAGTTTCCTTCCTTCTTGCTGTCTCCAGTCTTGTCTTGATCACCTGACTATAGCTTTAAGCCTTTTTGATTCCAGCCAATGTGTAGAATGTCTCTTGCTGTCCCAAATAATAGACATTATAAAAGTTTCACAGGGACAAAGTAATAATTAAAACAGTATTTAATGTATTTTCAGCAGCTCTGGATTAAAATATCAAAGTACAAGACTAAAAATGTTTACGTAGAAAAAAATATATATATACAAATTCATTATCCCTCCCTCCTCAATTCTGAAGTCAGTTAAAGCTAACTTCAATTTCCTCCTTTGAGGTACCAGAGGAAAGGTTGATTTAAAAAAAAAATGTTGATAAATGTTTTTAAGTAAATAGAAATTTCAGAATGTGACATGCAGGTAATTGGCATGATTAAACCAGGCCCCCATGTAATCCTATCTGCTCAGGAGGCTGAAGTCTGAGGATCATGAGTGAAAGCCAGCCTAGACAGGAAAAGTCTCTGAGACCCATAGTCCAAGCAGGAAAGTCTGTGAGACTCTTATCTCCAATTAAACACCAAAAGAAGCCAGAAGTAGAGCTGTGGCTCAAGTGGTAAAGTGCTCTAGCTTTGAGCAAAGAAGCTCAAAGACAGCACCCAGGCCTGGAGTCCAATCCATAGGAGACACACACACCACTCAAATAAAAATTAGCATGACCATGTCAACAATACATATATTCATCTAAAATGGGTCCTTTTTGTTTTTAATTCTACAGATGCTAAAACTTTTCAGAGAGATCAAAAACTTCCTGAAAATAAGCTGCCCAACTCTGGCACGCCACTCATAGCATGTTTCACAAACACTGACACTGCTCCAAACCTCCTCAGGGTAAATTAGCCGAGTAGGGACTGTTGCTTGTTGGCCAGACTCAGGAAGGCCAGGTGAGTTTTCAAGAGAGATGCAGGAAAAAGAAATGTTCCGAGTTTGAAAAGAGACAGGAGTAGTGAATTTATGAGGATTTCTTCCCCTGTGGCTTCCCCAGCTCTATCCAGTCCTTTCCATACCTCATTGCACAGATTTGTGATTATTTCTCCAGAATTGTGGGGAGTCCCAAGGTTCTCCTGATCCTTTCAAATCTAGAAAAATACCTGATTCCTTGCCTCCCACCTAATAACTGAATTACCTTGCCTGGGGCCACCTTGTTGAACCACCCAGTTGTCAGGTGGCTCCTTCTAAGGAAGCATAGACAGCTGTTGGTGTCATAGGATGTTGTGGTCTTTGGATATGCTCCCGATTTGAATTTCAACCAACTCCTCACATCTCTCTGATGGGGTACAGTAATAGAACAGAAGTCAATGGGAGATCAGCATGCACTCAGACTCCAGATTCTGAAAGGGAACAAAAATCAAACCCTCCATTCTTTGCCTCATCACCAAGTCCAAAAAAAAAAAAAAAGAACAATGAATATACTAGACACCAAAATCTATTGACCCATCAAAACTAAGTATACAGTGACAACTCTCAATAGCCACATAATAAGTAATATATAGTTTATGTATGATTAAGTTTCTATAATAAGAATAAATGAATATTATTTGTTGAATTGTATACCTTATAAATCCAAATCCTCTGCTATCTTACTAAAATTCATTCTGTATTAAAAAGTGTTCATTTAGTGTTTAAATATCCATGCAGAGCATTGGCTTACCTTTTCTAATACAGATAAGTTCATGCACTCCACAGGTTCTCTCTCCACCTATTAAAAAATTAAATTAGAAATTTAAAAGCAGAGGAAATAACCTTGAATTTGACCGTTACAAAGAAGCATTTATATTAGCACCTAGGAATGATCTCAGAAAAAAAACTTACAATTTTCTTAAATCCTCATTAAATATGATAGCCAGATACTCAGAATTTTTCTGAATAACCCAGAAATTGAGGCTTGCTACAGTTTTAGAATAAACTGGGCACACCAGTGGCTCATACCTGTAAACCTAGCTACTCAAGAGGCTGACAAAAGTCCACAAAAGTCTTAATTCCAATTAACTAGATTTAGTAGAACACGATGATTTTAAAAACCTAATAAGCACAGCCAAAAAGTCTTTTAAAAGGAGATTCTACTCTTTACAAAAATATAAATGAAAATGAAAAACATACTCAGTGAAATAGCCTGGCACAGAAAGACACACTATACAATCTCAACTATACAATCTGGAAAGGTCAACTCATAGTCCTAGGGACCAGAATGTTGTTATCAGGGCTGGTGTGAGGGGCATGAGAGAGGACACAAAAGGGGGTGGTCCTGTTCCCATCAGACAAGATGAATCAGTTTCTGTGATTTACTGTCCAACATGGTAAGTATACTTAATAACAAGCTATTGTATTCTTGACAAGTAACTTCTATTTTAAATATTTCCACTGTAAAAAATAAGTAGGTGATATAAGAGATTAATTTAATCATTTCACATGCATAATGTGATATTACGCATCAAAATGCCATATTATAGCCCATAAATATATACTGATAGTTATTGTAAGAATAATTTTCTTAGCCACTATACTAATATATTTTTTTCACTCAAAAACATAGCTCTACTGTAAGCCAAATAAAATTTTGGAGTGTTGTGTATATATATATGACATTATTATACTGTAAATTATTTTGAAATTTTCATAATAAAAATATTAAATGATTTAGTCATTTTAGGTCGATAGAGAAACTTATTATCAACAGTTCAGTTATAAGAAATAGAAATGTCTTACAGCAATTATATGAGAAGAAAAAACGATATCCACCTTAAAAAGTAGGTCATCTGGAATCCAAGCTAAAAAACTAGAAAATAATTTTTCTATCACTAAAGTAGGTTAGCTCCACAGCCTCGCTTGGTTCTAACAGTGCCATTGCTTCCTTATTATCAATAGTATAAAACAATCCCTAGTTAGCAGGAGATAAAAAAAACCTAGATATAAAGTTATGATTATAAAAGAATTATTATTCAGCAAAACCCCAGTATAAAACATGACCTTAACTGGAATATTACCAATGAACAACCACAGATCATTTGCTGAAGAGCTACAATGAAATACACCCATGTACTGCACATCTTTCAAACTGAAGAGACACAAATGACTGCAGCATGGTAAACTAGGCACTTACCAAGTTATAAGAAACTATTTTACCAGGTTATAAGAAACTATTTTCAAGACATTAGAAGAATCAAGTGATTAAAAATAACTATAATAAAAAGGAAGTTTAGAAGTATTTCCCCTGTATACTCATTGAGGTATATTTTTTAGAAGTCAACATTTGTAAATTAGAGTCTTGTGCTATATTCATGTATCTCTTAATGTCTGTCATTAAGGCTAGACTCTCACCTATGTAATATAAATTGATTAGGCCTTACCATATATAGCCTGCCTTAAATATAATGGTGGTTTTACAAGGATTAGCATTAACAATAACAAAAAAAACCTGCTGGCTGAGCGTCGGTGGCTCACATTTGTAATCCTAGTTACTCAGGAGGCTGAGATCTGAGGATCACGGTTCAAAGCCGGCCCAGGCAGGAAAGTCCGTGAGACTCTTATTTCCAATAAACCACCAGAAAACCAGAAGTGGCTCTGTGGCTCAAGTGGTAGAGCGCTCACCTTGAGCTGAAGAGCTGAGATAGCGCCCAAGCCCAGCGTTCAAGCCCCACAACCGACAAAAACAAAACAAAACAAAAAAAACCTGCTGAAGGACAATGGAAGTAAACTCTATTTTCATAATATAAAATTCATCTCTTTTGACTGAACATCATAAATAAAAAGCTAGCGAAATAATGACTATATATTAAATTTACAGTTAATTAATAATTGTCAAGCTTATTTTTTAAATCACACAACAAAAGAGACTAGCACTCAAAGACAGAGAGAGATTGGAATTCAGAAACAAAGCTCATTATTTTGTAGTACAAACAGAGACTCTAAAGGTTAAAGTTGTCCAAAGACACTAATTAATTGTCAAGAGAAAAAAATTCAAACATTATGTTTAATATAGCTAAGGAAGTAAAATGGATTTTTCTTCAATTTTGTGAAAAAATTATGAAATCATTTTTCTATGGCGTAAGGCAACTGACATAGAGTGACTGTGCAAAAGCTATACTTGGAGGTACCATCAGCATGACTCTAGACACAATCATCTCAGCAACGTGGCAAAGGTTAGGCAAAGTTACCATCTTTTCCTACAGTCCAATCTAGGTGCAGAACATGATATAAACTCACACAGACCTGTACTGCTGCCATAAATAATAACAGAAGGAAGCAGATATTTGGGGTACTCACACACAGGTGCTATGATTATGTGCAGTGTATATGGATGTACGGTGTTAATGTGGATGTACAGCTAACCAGGGTGCTTCAAGGGAAAAAGAATCCATATTTTCTCCATGTTCACAGAAGGAAAATGTATACTAGTGTTATCATCCCATTATAATACATCCAGGTATACAAAAGTGGACTTAAGCCCATGATCTAGTTCTTTTAAGGGTCATTTTCAAAGTTTACTTTTCATATTCTGACCATTAGCCTACATCTCCACAACTTACAAACTATTTCTTCTTTTTCTTGTGTTGCTTTAAGCATTTGTATTAAAGGATTTCAATTCCACAAGTCATATGATGAGCATAATGCAACTTGCTCATTGTCAGCCTGTCCACCAATCTGCCCTATCTTTTCCAATCACATCCCACTTATTTCTTATTGATTAAACACTGAAAAGCTACTTATCAATGTCTTAAAATTCATTTCATCTAAAGATTGATGTAGTCACAGCCCTGAAGTTAACATCTAGCTCACAGTAATCACATGGTGATAGCTAACTCTTATGTAGATATCTATACATAATAAAAGATGAAACTTTTAAATATTTTCAGTTGATGCTGTTAACTTCCCACCCCCCCCAAAAAAAAAACTTTGTTTGTTTTTGTGGTACTGGGGATTGAATCCAGTGCCTCTTCTTGAATGCTAGGCAAGTGATTGACTACCTGAAATTCACCTCCAACCCCAACTTAACCCACTGAGACTTCCAAATCTCAAACCAGGCACTGGTGGGCTCAGGCCCATAATCCTAGCTACTCAGGAGGCTGAAGTCTGATGATTATGATTCGAAGTCAGACCAGGCAAGAAATTCTGTGAGACTCTTAGCTCCAATTAATCACAGAAAAAGCCAGAAATGGCTTGTGGCTCAAGTGGTAGAGCGAAAGGAGCTCAGAGACAGCACCCAGGCCCAGAGTTCAAGCCCTTAGGACTGGGGTGAGGGGTGTGTGGTGGGGTCCCGGAAGCCTTCCAACTTTCAGACACATTTTAGATTAGCCCCTAATTAAAGCCATTTATTCAAGGAATAACATGAGGGCTGGTCCTTAATTTAAAACAGTGTTGAGGAAAAAACATGATTTCAAATTGAACTAGACTTCAATCAAAGTCAGCAACCTAGCACAGCTAAACCTCATACTTGTTACCCTACATGATAAAAAAAAAAAAAAACCTTAAAAGCATTTGTAGAGTAGCAATAAAATAACCACAGGATAGAAAATAGCTTTCATTTTAAATGCTGATTCTGGAATAGGAGTGAAGGGCACTGCTGCCCCAGTTTCCAAAAACAAGTCCATAAGCAAATCCAACAGAAGATGCCTTCATAAAGTAGTCAGGAGAGGATGCTCACAGGAGAGGGAGGACCGACCCGCGGTGGAAAACAAGTATGTGTCCTCACCAGAAGAACAGCAAACTCAAAGGAAATTCAAAGCATTAGGCCCCAGGAAACAGGAAAGACCCTCTCATAGTTCTCTTCTTTGGCATCAGTTACTGAATTTCAAATGCTCTTCTAGGCAAATACCCCAAAAGAAATGTTACACTTCTCATACTTCTAAATTTGCCCTCCTAAAAAAAAAATGTTTGTTTAAGAAGAAAATAGTTTAAAGGCTAGATGCAGTGGCTTATAGCTGTAATCCCAACTACTTGGTAGGCAGAGATCAGGAGGATCGAACTTCGTGCTTCGTGACAGAGGCAGGCAAAAAATTAACAAGACTCCATCTCAATGAACAAGCCTGCCATGGTAGCATGCAGCCATCACCCCAGCTAGGCAGAGGCAAATGTAGGAGAATCACGGTCTAAAAAGGAGCCCCAGAAAAACTATTAAGCTCAATTTAAAAAAAAATGAATGCCACCAGGCACCAGTGGCTCTCGCCTGTAATCCTAACTACTCAGGAAGCTGCGATCTGAGGATCACCGTTCAAAGCCAGCCTGGGCACGAAAGTCCATGAGACTCATATCTCCAATAAACCACTCACAATACTGGAAGTGGTGCTGTGTCTGAAGTGGTAAATGCTCGCCTTGAGCTGAAGAGCTGAGGGACAGCGCCCAAGCCCAGAGTTCAAGCCCCAAGACTGACAATAATAATAATAATAATAATAATAAATGCTTAACAGGGCTGAAGGCATCTGGCTCAAGTGACAGCATTCCTGACCAGCAAGTAAAACTGCAGTAAATCCAGCCAGGTAGGTAGGTAGCATATAGACAGGTAGACACATAGAAAAGTCTCCAACTCTCTGGGATTATCCTCTCAAACTGGAATTCCTTTGCTTTTGGTTGCTACTGTGCAATTAATGTAGAATTAAAATAATTTGAAAGTCTTTATCATTTTACAAACTCATTTTGTCTATAATATTCCTACATACTAGCAGGACTAAACTTCGGAACACACATGCCCCACTCTAACTTCAT